CAGGGCACAATAGACTTCGCTCCCACATGTACAAACAAATTTAAGATTGGCCAATCGGCCATGTGTACCTTGTGGACTGGCACCTGAAACAACAGATCACACCCTTCAAGACTGTCCCATATTCAATGCTTTCAGGCAAAACATTTGGCCAAAAGAGACACTTGTGGAAGTCAAACTTTACGGGCCGCTTAGTGAATTACAAAAGACAGTGAAATTCATACAAGAGACGGCTTTGCAGATATAGACAATTTATTTCATGCGAACGAAAGAAGAGAAGAAGAAGTTTCCACTGACTCCAAAGCATTGGGAGCAACATCAAAGATCCATCGCCTTATCAAAACCAAATTCTCAAACTGTCCCAGCCCAAAGACGAAGACAAGAGGTGCGCGTAAACAATACAAACCTTACTGGAATTGCGATCTGGAGCAACTGCACAACAATATGGAAACAGAAAGAAAACAGGCTGAGACCAGACCTTGTCAAGAGCAGTTTAACAACTACCAACATTCAAAGGCCAAATTTCAAAGAGCCAAACTGCAGGCTAGACGGAGAAGCTGGCAGGAAAAGACAAAGTCCCTAAACTTTGAAAGAGACACAAGGAAGTTGTGGAGGTTAATTAAGCAAATTAATGATGAGAATACAGGGAGAAATGGTTATATTGCACTGTGCAAAGAGGGAGCCATCCTAACAAGAAAACAGGCAGCTGACCACTTTGCAGATTCCTTTGCAGAAGACAGCAACATTAATGTCAGCCCAGAGAAACAGCGAGAGGTTCAAGAAAACAAACAACATACAAGACAAAAAGATATAATTCCTGAGGCACTGGTGGCAGCATTTACATCCAGCGAGTTAGAATTAGCAATATCAAAGCTGAGGATGGGAAAATCACCTGGAACTGATGGAATCACCAACGAAATGATCAAGAACCTTGGAACAACTGCCAAAATAAAGCTGCTACAGATCTTTAATCATTGTTGGACCAGTGGCAAAGTTCCTCAAATATGGAGAGAAGCAATCACAATACCTCTGCTTAAACCAGGAAAGGACAGTTCTGATGCCTCCAGCTATAGACCGACCAGTCTTACCAGCTGCCTCTGTAAAACAATGGAACGTATTGTCAACCTTAGACTCCAATGGTACTTGGAAAGTGAAAACATTTTCACGCCGCAGCAGGCAGGATTTAGACAGTGCTACTCCACAGAAGACCAGACAACTTACCTTTCACAAGAAATTGAGGATGCCTTCCAGGAAAAGAAGCTAGTGCTAACGGCATGGATAGATCTGAAGAAAGCCTTTGACAAGGTCTGGAAAGAAGGTCTACTGAAGAAACTGAGAGACTGCAGGGTGAATGGGAGTATGTACAAATGGGTCAAAGCATACTTGTATAACAGAAGATCCCGAGTACAGATAGATGGACTTAAGAGCAAGAAAGTTTTGCTGCGCCATGGCGTCCCACAAGGAGGTGTCCTGTCCCCCACACTCTTCCTAGTCTATATCAACGACCTGCTTTCTGAACTACCCCATGGAATTAAAGCTGCAATGTATGCTGATGACTTGGTACTCTGGTGTACAAATGAAAATGCGACAGTGGCCACCAGACTGCTACAAAGAGCCATAGATGCAATGGCTAAATGGGCCGACAAATGGTGTGTCAGCATCAACATAGGCAAATGCAGCACCACTCTCTTTACCCTTTCTCCTAAACAAAAATCAGGCGCCATGCACATAAATGGAGTACCCCTGAGAGAGGATAAGGAGCTCACATACCTCGGCGTAACGTTTGATGATAGATTAACATGGAGAAAACACATCAACAAGGCAGCAACCAAAGCCAGAAGGAGGGTAGCCATTCTGAGAAAACTAAGTGGAACAACATGGGGTGCTAGCGGGAAAATACTTAGAAAAGTTTACCAACAAAGTGTTCGACCACATCTTGAATACGGATCAACAGCATGGAGTTCGGCATCAAAAACCACATTGCAAGAATTAGACAAAGTGCAAAATCAAGCACTCAGAGTTACCACAGGCAGTATGAAATCAACACCTATAGCTGTGATGGAGAAAATGGGGATGACCCAAGCACTAAGTGAACGCAGAGACACCAAGATGCTTTTACAAGCAGAAAAGTTTCTTAGTATGCCCAGTCACCCTATGAATGAAAGATTCGAAAATTTAGCTTTGGGACGACTAAAGAGAAGTAGTTTTATCCACCAGGCCAAACGGCTCAGCAGACAAACCACTGATTTACCTGCAACTGATAGATCCTTAAATGCTGTCCCAGAACGGACCCCCTGGAGAGAGGAGTATAATTTCCAATATACATCAAGACTGAAGTGAAAGGGGTATTTGACAAGGAAGAACAAAACAGTGTGCAGTGCAAAACAGCCACCCTCAGTTTACTTGATGATGAATACCCGCAGAACCTTTGGGTCCGTGTTTACACAGATGGGTCAGCAGAAAGCGCAGTCAGAAACGGAGGTGCGGGAGTGTACATTGAGTATCCTAATAATACCAGGGATACAGCCAAATTACCAACGGGAAAGCACTGTCACAACTATGATGCAGAAGTTCAAGCCATCAAGATAGCGGTAGAGAAACTACTAAATACAGGGTATTTTTCACAACCAGTGGTATTCCTGACAGATGCAAAAGCAGTACTTCAGTCACTCCAGTCTGGAAAATTACCAAGCATACGGACACTATTATCCGAACTAGGCAACCGCTGTAAATTAGTAATGCAGTGGATACCTTCCCACTGTGGAGTTCCCGGAAACGAAAAAGCTGATAAACTAGCTAAGGAAGGTGCAACTGAAGAACAACCTGACATACCAGTCTCTTATCAACAGAAGAAGAGAATGATCAAATCAATCAGAATGCCACCGAAACTGGCACAAGATGATTACCATATTATGGACAGACCAGAGCAAGTTATTATCCTTCGCCTTAGAACAGGGCACAATAGACTTCGCTCCCACATGTACAACAAATTTAAGATTGGCCAATCGGCCATGTGTACTTGTGGACTGGCACCTGAAACAACAGATCACACCCTTCAAGACTGTCCCATATTCAATGCTTTCAGGCAAAACATTTGGCCAAAAGAGACACTTGTGGAAGTCAAACTTTACGGGCCGCTTAGTGAATTACAAAAGACAGTGAAATTCATACAAGAGACGGCTTTGCAGATATAGACAATTTATTTCATGCGAACGAAAGAAGAGAAGAAGAAGTTTCCACTGACTCCAAAGCATTGGGAGCAACATCAAAGATCCATCGCCTTATCAAAACCAAATTCTCAAACTGTCCCAGCCCAAAGACGAAGACATATATCAGAATTACCCGGTTGCCCTGTATGGTCCGGACGGATCCTGCAGGTTGCCTGGTGTCCAAAACCCCAGCTTCATTGGTGTACACAGCAAAGGTCAAAATGAGCTGGGTATAGATGCATGTAGGATTTTTCCCGTCCTTTGTCAATGTATCGTCACTTAGAAGGAGTTCAATCTCCTGATCCTCCTCTTCAATATCAGTGTATTCTTTAGCTTCGGCATTCTCTTTCTCGTGGATAGCTCTCCATTTGGGCCAGCGGATAACAATGATGTCACAGGCGGTGCAAATAATCATCAACAAACCAATTTTTGCCAGAAAAACTATGGCAATGAGTAACTGTGCTCGTGTCTCAGTCCTCCATGAGGTATTCAGCAGGGGCAGTTGGTTTCATACCAGACCTCTCACACTCTGCTTTGTCGCAGCCAACACATATCATCCTAAAACTGCAGACCTTCATCTGTTTTTGTGTCTGTCCCCCTTTCTTGAAAAGTCGCAGTGAGAAAACAAGCGGGTACTTCAGCAACAGTGACCTTATGAAGGAAAAAGCTGTTGAAGAGTCCACACATGACCAAGAAGGTAACCAGTCCCACCACCTGCAGCAGGCTGTCAACACAGAAGAATGGACTGAACTCAATAGGTTTTTTAATTCTGCCAGTGGCCAACAGCTCAAGGACTGTCCTGTAGAAAATAGACTAGTCGCTGCCCGGGAACGTCACACACTACTTTTTCACTTCCTTGCTATAGAAAACCGTCTTCTGTTAAGGAAGACGGTACTCATATTTGGGTAGGGGATCAGGAAACAGTGCTTGTCGCAGTGGCCTCAGCACTTTCATGTGTGCAAACCCACGCACTGTTGACTCAAAGGTGCCAGTGATGATTGTGACACCTTCAGGCCTACTGTTTCTTATCATAAAGCTCTCAATACTGGCCATCTCTCTATCTTTAAATTGTTTTTGTGTGTAAAGAATCCCAGTTTCTGTAAGGATGCTGTCGAAGCCAGTAGCAGCAATCACAAACACACTGTGTTCCTTGACTTTAGCGTTATACAACAGCTGCATCTTCTCCAAGTACTGTGGTTCTCCACTGATGTCCAGGTGATGAGTACCTGCCTCGATGCATGCCTTAACCACAGGTTCCCCATAAAATTGATTTGGGCTGACACAGTTTGGCACAACTCTGCCTTGTTTAACCATCTCCTCCAGAGAAGATGGGTTGCTGCTGTCAGCGATGATGATTGGAATGTTCTCAATGCTCTTGCCTGTGTGTACAGAAGCCTTGTTTAAAACGGCCTAAAGTTTCTGCATACTTAATCCAGCAAACGCCCATGTTAGCTTCTCCTCTTCTGAAACTTGGGCCACTTCATCCACTGTGTACTTCCTGGTAAATCCACTGAAGTCAAACTTCACCCCATCCATCTTTCTAGGACTTTTTTTAGTCAGAAAAGTACTAGATCATCAATCAAAAAAGGGTAATAAGTGTGCAATAAAATGACGGAAGATGTCAAGAATGAAAAAGAGGACCAAGAGTGAACTAACATCTGCTACTGCCGGTCCCACCAATAATAACAACGCTCAAACAAAGGTCAATGAATTTCTCCTCTTTAAGAAAACGATGACAAAAACCCACTGACCATTGTAGATTATATACTCATAAAGAGAAAGGAAATCTAAAGCCACATGCAAAATTTTGTGTTGGTCCGTTTTCCACACATTTATTAAAGTGGGAGGGCACGAGTTTTGAAATGCACTGTAATCTACACGATGGTCTTTCACTGCAATGGCTGGACTGCTAATCTACAAATGAGATGGTGGGTTTAATCGATAACAGGCTATCTATGGAGTCTGCAATCTGCAACACAACATGTCCTGGAAGCACTTCTTAGCAATCGATTATTGGCATATGGGACCGAACTATCCACCTTGACATATGTGTGCACCTGTAAACAGGACTTGGGCATCATAAGAGAAATTCACACATGGACATTTGTACTTAACACCAGTCGACTTAGCACTGTTGTTTCATTGACCATTATTATGCTCTCGGTGCATTCAGACGACCTTGATCACAAACACCAACATGAAGGCAATCAGAAAAACACAGTCCTGATGCAGTCCAATAACAGTTCTACAATCTTCCTGCAGTCATAACCTCATCAAAAGTACATATGACACTGATGGTATATAGCTAACTATATTATTTTTGTAAACAATTTGCAGCACGAAAATTCCAGCCACCATTTTGTTGCGTCTGGTACCCACCTATTCACCGGTCTCAATTCCAAGATCAGTAAGGTGGCAAACCTGTAGGATGACATCTTCAGCACGACCCACCCACAATTCGCCACTTTTAAATCTTTTCCTTCTAAGATTGAATAATTCCTCATGAAGTGGATATCGAGGGTCAGACTTCACTTTGAGGAAAGCAACAGCCCCGGATAACTTGATTCTGTTATCAACTGTGGGACAAACTAAGAGGTATCGCATGGATTTACAGGTGGTGTCCCTAGTGCTTCCAAGAATAATATATATTGCCTTGTTTTCAATTTTTTCAAAAGTCTGGTTATGTGTGTGTGCTGAGTGTCATGACGGCCGGTGCATTTTCAATATAGGAACAGTATGTTTGGAAAAAAAGGCTCTGGAGCAAAATAAAGTAATTGGAAAACAAAAAAACTGACAGATGTTATGGCTGCAAATACGATTTTACAGAAAATACCAGAATATCATGGATTTTTCAGATTATCATTGACTGTGACAAGCACATACAAAATGTAATACTATACTAGACAATGAGAAATGAAATATGAACTCTGTTTCTCAAGCAAAGAATGGCGTATTACTAAACTCTTCAAATTCAGCCCAAGTATGCTTAACAAGTCTGGCCATTTAAGGTATAATAAAGTACATTCTTATTTGTTAAATCTTTGAAAAAAAAAATGCATTCTTAATTTTTAACTGTGGGTATTTCCCTCTTGGGCATCTGTTGAGATTTTATCTGGCATTGAAAGAGTTTACAAAGAACAGCAACAAATAAAGATACTTGCAAGTATGGCATATCAGTCAAAAGCACTAAAGAACTACACTAAACAGCAATAAAGAGCAATTGCATACAACAAACAATTTAAAATGTTAGTACAGGACAAACATCAGATTTAATAATGTGACTTACTTTTAAAGGTCCAAGGAGAATATAATTGCAGTTCTGAAGATTGACACTGTTCAGTTTTGGACATGTATCAGCAAGTAGGTGGAGGGTTTCAGATGTAACGGCTGCATTATCTGACAAATTCAAGTACTGAAACAGGATGTCATTTTTAATCATTACAATATTAAGACTTTCAGTACCAAGCAACTGGCACTTCCATTCACTATATCAATATAGGCTGTTACTTTAACCAAAAATGTTCAGGTCTGAGGAACAACTAACACTATAGGATAAAAAGAGTTTCAGTAATAATTTTGGCAAAATGTGTTAGTGAAACAAGTTTTCAGGTCACAGGGATGCAGGGTCAAGACCCCATTTTGGGGCAAAAAGGAACAGATCCACTAGTAACGTGATTTGCTTTATTTCTCTTGCCCTTCTTAGGTAGTCCAAGTGATAATTTTATTCATCATTCTGCAGGTTTCGGCTATGCTATCTATTACTTCCTTGGTCTTCCTCTCACCTTCTACCCAGATGCTCTGCTGTAGAAAGTCTCATAAACAGTTTGGTCTGGATGCATTATTACTAGATGGACACACTATTTCATTCTGTCTTTAAATGCAACTAAGGCATTGTCTTTTTCCAACCTTATATCTTACGACTGAAACACATGAATACAATATCAAGATATCACTAATAGTTTATGACAACAAGGAGACAGAACTGTGTAACATAAATACCTGTAAATTGTGAGTAGACTCAAAGTTGAGAACCTTGCTTGGAATCTGAAAGGTGGTTCGGGAAGGGTCAAAATGAACAAGATCTTCCATGTTCTGAAGACATGTTGCATAGCCATCCATTGTCCACAACTGGTCTACATTGCCAGAGGGCTGCAGGAGAGTCTTAAACTTCACTGAAAGTTTACAAACTGCTAGAAGTGTCCCAAAGAAAAACATCCTTGCTGCTGGATCCATTGCATCATTTAAGGTCATGACCTTCACATTCTTCAAATTGTCAGGATTCAAAATCTGAGGCTGGAAGATATACTTGGGAATTCCCCTTGCATTGCTTGGAAAACCATATACATGAAACTCTTCTAAATTTCGGCAGTATTCAAATAAAGTCGGCCCAGAACAAAAATTAATTACAGGTCGATTTGAGTAAACTAACTGATGACGAAAGTGCAAACCCAAAGAAATCAACCGAGCTAAACATTCCTGTGCACCTGGAGATGCCGATAGCTCTGGGTGTAGATCTCTAATGTCGGAGATAGAAAAAGATAAGTTTGTGAGGTTGCGAAGACTGGACATGATATTGCACAAATTCTTGAATGATACTCGTACTTGTATCAAATGCAAAGAGGAAACATTTATGCATTTTGAAATGACATCTAAGCCAGAAGACTTCAGCCAGTAGCATGTGTTTAAGTTCAATCTTTCAATTCTGTCTACAACAGGTCTGATGTATTCTTGAAGCTTTTCTGAGGTCAGCCAGTAGTTCTTTGCAAATGAAAGATGCCTGCAAAAGAAATAGGAATATTCCTAATGAGATGTACCTGCAATTTAAAACAGCACATTGTAATTTAAAGATGCATCAAATTATAATAGTATATGAAAGATATAATAAGAAACAAGATGTGTGTATTTAAAATAAAGAATGCTGTAAATGACAGCCATCTCTGCCATTGCCAGTCCCAAGTCTGGATGACAAAGGAGGAAGGCTGGATCTGAGGCTAGCTCTCCTACTCTATAAAAGTCTTTTTGGCTACAGAAATCTGCAGGAAAAGATTCCATTCTGGTTAAAAAATGAGTCAAATGGTGTGTTGTACACAGAGTGCATGCATGATGGTTGAGGATGAAAGCCACTCTGTCGAAGCCAATGGCACACTTGCACACTACTTGACTCAACTGCATAAGATTTTTGGAATGTCAGGACAATGGCGCAGGCAATAAAATCCACCCAGGTATAAGAAGAAATGAAGAGATACCAACTAGATAGTTTGAGATTAAGAAGAAGTTAGCTGGCCAAAAGCAGAAAAAAAAGAGTGGTTAGTGGGTTTACCCTTTTATATTTAGAGGCTCAAGATAGAAAACATGAGGAAGGAGTAGACATTATGTGACACTCCAAGTTGCAAAATTCTGCTAGAATAGCAACCTATATCAAGCACAGAGATTAGAGCTAGGCTTAGCATTATATATATTAAACTGACCATCATTCAATGTTATGCCCCAACTTATGACGTTGAGACTGATGATAAAGATAACTTTTATGATCAACTGTGTTATCAAGTAAATAAAATAGCTAAACATGACCTATTGGTAGTAATGGGACATTTTAATGCGAAAGCAGGTTGTGAAAATATGGGCATTGAGAGAGCTATGAGGGAAGAAGTAGCAAACTAAAATGGAGATTAACTAGCTGATTTCTGTAATCAGTCAGATCTAGTAACTAAAAACTTTGCTCATAAAGAGATTCACACAACTAACCTGGCAATCACCAAATGAAATGACTAAGAATGAAACAGACAACCTTTGTATACCCAAGAAATAGACGCTCTCAGATGGATGTCGGAGCATACAGATGAGCAAATATGGGCGGTGAACACATCTTATTTACAATTAGCCGAAGGGTATGTAAAAATTTGCCGATATCTCTTAATTTTGTAAAATTACCACAATTTCAGATAATGTTTTGCATTCTGTGTTTATTTTTACACAATTATAGAAAGTTTCACAAAGACTGGTTTCCGAAAAGTGTCTGAAAAAAATATTTCTCTGTGCCCATGCTGTTTCATTATCATCGGAAAACAACCAAGATGGCGTATTCTGTACACGTTTATACAGTGCATAATTAAACATTTATCTACTAATAATTTGATTGCATAAAATGCAATTTCATTTCCAAAAAGAATTAAAATGTTTACTCTTATTATATTTTATAATTTGACATGAGTCAATAGGTTTGCTTCCGTTCAATTCTTTGAGTGTTAGGGTTAGGGCTAGGGAGCTGACAGACTGTCTGTCCATATTTACGGGAAATAAATCTTAATTTTACATATCACTGAGGTTCTGTTAGGGTATATTTTCAAACATGATCATTCAGAACCATCATTCGGAGGAGAGCCAAACATTCTAAAGGTCAGTCTTTGACACGTCTATTGTTTGTCACTAAGCCTTCCATCATCTCACCGCCATGACTGTCTCAGCCAGCGCATATTTTTATTATTAAAATGATATATGGCTGCTAGGGAATTCATTAACTCTAAGTCATGTAAGTC